ATTTTTAATATGGTAGCATATTCCTTCATTCTAATGATGACAATTTGGTTTTCTATAGTAAAATTCATTTCTAATTTTTACAAAATCCACAAATATTATTGCACCTTTCTACTCAAATCTACAAGCTATTAGCATTATGCTTTCATGCTGTTTACATTTTCCATCTTTTTTACAGTAATAATTGCAAGGGGATAGACATTATTTACATTCAGGGAGATAATAGTCTGAAAATTATGAACGATTTGATAACAAAAATTTGCATACAGTGTTGAATTGGAGAATTTTCTTGTTTAGCTGTTTATTAAAATTGTTAATGATTGTGAATGATTTCTTGAACGAATTGGCATGCATTTGTTTAGATATCGATTGAGATAATTAATTTGTGGATATAAATTTTATCGGTTTCATTCTTTAAGACTTCATTCATTTTAAGGCATCGTATACAAGAAAATTCACTTTCACAAACACAATCAATAATAAACACTTAGTGTTGCGATTGCATATGTGATCATTTCACAGAGAATTTTTAAAATGTTTCTTTGTTTTATAAATTTCGGAACGATCCATATCAGTCATCCAAAATTCCGACATAAATAGAAAGTCTTCTTGGCGAAACGTCATTAATTTTTAACATTTAAGTAATGAAACCTTTCGTCACATTTTAAATATTATAATTCCGTTAAATTACAGCATATTAATTATTGTTAAGGTAAATAAAAAATCTATAAAGCAAAAGATTCCATCCGTATAATTTCGCGTAGGAGCATAGGCTTCTATAATCTAACAGAAATAAAATATAATTCTACAGAATTTCAAAATATTACAAATTTTAAGCATTTAAAAAAACTTGAAGAATTGAATTTCGGTTGTCATGTATATAATCAATTACAGATTATCAAATATCAATGCATCTTCTCAGTACTTTCCTGTTGGCGATTTGTACTGTTTTCGTTGTTGAAGTAAGTTTCCTGATGGATTATTCCTAAGTTAGAAAGAAATACGCTTTTAATTATTTGCTAATTTTATTTTTAAGGCGTGCCCATCACTGCTGGGAGGAGGAGGAGGAGGAGGAGAGGGCGGCAGAGAAGGAAATGAATTTCGAGGACCGCCGGGACGAGATGGGAGTCAGGGACCTCAAGGATCGCCAGGAATGCCGGGGCCACCTGGTGACCAAGGAGAAACAGGACAGCCAGGACCAAGAGGTTCGCAGGGTGTGCCAGGTCCCAAAGGACCAAAAGGACAGCCGGGATTGAAAGGTGAACGAGGACCACAAGGAGATGANGGACCAATGGGAGGAAGATAGAAATTAGAATGAAACACAGGATAAAGGAAACAGAGACAACGAATTTGTCGCATATATCGAAACATTTCATCTGAGTGATATCAGTTTTCTTATTTTAATTATTTTTGTTTGCTTTGATTATTTTTGTTAGCACCGACGTGGCATTGATAATGTCCTTCTCGTTATATCACGAAATTCACTGATCTGAAATAAAATAGTTTACGGTGCTTTTAAAGGAATTTGATTGCAAATATTGGAATATGAAACATGAGCCTTGCTATATTTTGAAATCGTAGTATCCAAATAATAAAAAAATTTGATCAATTTTCGAATTGGATAAAAATAAATCGAAACATTTCTTACGCACTATTACAAGTTGAGGGAAATTTTGTAAAGATGAATCATACAAAAGGAAAATATTTTTTCCTTCTGTAAACATTTACGATGGGTTTGTAGACCAAACAACATCAATTTTAATCGCAAGTTATTGAACTGAAAAAAAAGAATAGATAAAGGAGTGAAGTAAAATGAGAATTTAGAATTTTAATTGGAAATTAAAACTGAAATGATCAGATAAATTTGATGGAAATTATGCACTATCATTTATTTACATGGATAATTAATTAATAGAAATATGATTAATTTTATTTCCAATTTTTACAATAATATAATAGAAATTGACGTATGAAAATATTCCAAGAATTCAAAAATGAAGCACTATTTATTGCATTATTACGTTTAACTTAATCTTATCATCATCAGCAACGTAGAAAGACATCAATCAATTACGGATGATGATCTGAGAAATTTGGTGATCTGGCTTGTCTTGATCGATTCGTCTATATGCATACATGAAAATATATGCAAAATTATTAAAAGTGTAAATTTTCCCTCATTTACCTGTATTTACCTAGAATAGAATGGAAAAAAGGAAGGATAATAAATGTTACATATAAACTTCTCCATTGCCAAAATTTACATTTGTTTGTTTACTTTGAAATAAAATAGCATATGGCATTGTTCGTTCAAAGATTCCCCTGTAAAAGTGTAAATAAATATTTCAACGTTATTACTAATTGATGGATGAGAAATACGGAAATTGTGGGGAAATTCTATCAAACCAAATCTTTTTCTTTTTTTCGACTACTAATTTCAAATAATGTACGATGAAAAAATAGAAATTTATGAATGATAAACGATTAGAAAAAATACGATTTATAGAATGGATTAATGAACCGCTAATGGGAATAAAATTTTCAAGTGAAAACTTACAATTTTGAAATATAATTAAATCTATAGTCGGACAGAAAATATTCGCAAATGTATTGATTTAAGCAATAACAATTGTTTTAATTGAAGTAATCATTAATTTGCTTTTAATTGAACTTACCAATTTTGGAAAGAGATAAATTTTTACGGGATTAGAAATGTTAGATTTTAATTATAACTGACTTGAAATAAAACAATACTCAAAATTTGGAATATATCGCTTTGATGTGACCGTGCTTCGAATTCAATTTTATTGCTAGAATATTTAAACCTGTTCTTTCGCTCATCATCCGGATTGGCTATTTTCGACCGGTGATCTTTCATTATCGATCTAATCTTCACTAATTATAAATTATCGTATATAAAAAGATTCGTTCGGCTTTCAGATATACAAACAAAAACAAACATTTAATATGAATTCTGTATGATCATTTCATGAAGAATTTTTAGAATGTTTCTTTGTTTATAAATTCTGGAACGATTTATATCAGTCATCCAAAAGTCCGATATAAATAGAAAGTTTCCACTCGAAACGTCACTAATTTACCACATAAATAGTAAACTTTTTTGTCACATTTGTTATAATATTGTAATTTCTAAATTACAGCATATTACTTATTATTAAGGAAAATAAAAATCTGTATGATTTCATCCGTATAAGGTCGTATAGAAGCTTAAGCTTCTATAATCTAACGAAAATAAAATGTAGTTTTGCAAAATTTCAAAATATTACAAAATTTAAGTATTCAATAAGAAAGTTGAAGAATTGAATTTCGGCTGTTATGTATATAATCAATTACAGACTATCAAGTATCAATGCATCTTTTAAGTACTTTCCTGCTGACGATTTGTACTGTTTTTGTTGTCCAAGTAAGTTTCCTAATGAATTGTTTCAAGTTAGAAAGAACACGCTTTTAATTATTTGCAAATTTCATTTTTAAGGCGTGTCCATCACTGGTGGGAGGAGGAGG